GTCTCTTGAAAGATCCATATACCCGGGTAAAGTCCAGGTAGGAAAAATAAAAATATGAAAAACTCACCGCCGAAATCAAACACAATCAACCGAATTGGGTTCCGTTCTAGTCGCAGTTCGGGTTTCCTTGCTTGCACAGCCATTTGAGGTTGTCCGTTTGGTTGGTTAAAAATAATCAGACCGTCTCGTGTTGTCGCAATGACACCCAGCGGCCTCCCACCGCGGTAAACATCGTTTGTCAAATGCTCCGACTGCCAAGGACCCGGCCTGTCCAGCTCCACTTCCATGTCCTCCATCCTAATTCAGCTCCAGTTGCACTTTATCCGGAGGGGTAAGGCTCTCCTTCAGTCAAGGACTTACGTGAGTCGCGGCCGTGCGATAAAATAACCGGTTACAAAATATTTGTTGACATTCCGCGGTAAATTACCATAATTAGTTGATTCGAGCGACCGACCCATGTTTGATCGGGCTGTCAGGGGGCGTTGGACAGCTCGGGGGTTGAGAGGAGTGGGTGTGCGTGCAAGGACACCATGCCAAACAGAGCACTGCCCACTGCTAAAAGGATAATAATTAGAGCATATGTACGGATTGAGTGCAAATATTGACTCGGTCTGCGTTTCCTTGCCCTCCATTTGTCATTATTTCGGCTCGTTGTGGTGCGTAAACTCAAATTAATCAGCCCGATATCAATATCCGTGCAAACATTGTTCCACATAAAACATATGTAGGCATATAAGCGATACATATGTCAAAACCTTATTGACATGGATTTGCTTAAAGGTTTTCCTTTGACGCAACGCATGTGTGCTGTTCACAATATGTTAGGGGTCAAGAAAAGGTAATTGGGGATTTGGATAGGAAATCTTTGAAGAAAGGACAGACAAATAGGTTTACTATCCAAACCTGAAGGGGTTTCATACTTTCATCCTTTTTTTTTAATTTTTTCCTGTGAAAATAATTGCTTTTCATTCTCTAGTTGTAAATTTTTTTCCAAAAAAAAATTGTGGAAGATTATTAATATGCCTTTTATTCATTTAAAAACATAATACAATACATACACAACACATATACTAAACTAGTATATCAACGTTTTCCATGGCACTCCTTGACAAATTTCTTCACCCTTTTGGCCAGCCTACACTAATACTACTTAAAATATTCATCTCAAATAAAATTAATTTAATTGCTTACTATTCTACTTTTTTTAAATTTTATTGTAGTTAAAATTCTTAATTAAGGGGCCTTACCAGTGTAACTATTTTTTTTTTTGCCTAATCGATAGTTTAAAATTGAAATAAACATCCTGTGAAAGCGGCAAGGTTGTGCATAAAATAGTTTTTGAATGGCAGAGTTCTAAAGAGCGACCGCTCGCAGACATGTACCGCTTCACCTGAAACTTTACAATGACCATGTGGCAGAATTAAGAAAGTCATTTTTTAACCCATTTTGTTGATATTTGATGTTTTTTTAGCCAATCATTTTCCCGGAATCATGTTAGCAGTTGGAGTACTTTTTTTTTAACCTCGTGAGCCAGCCAACAGTCTCGTTATTTCTAAATATTTTTGTAAAAACAATAAAAAAAAATAATTTTTGTTAATTTCTTATATAAAAGTACAACATCTCATGTCCTGTGAGAAATTCTTGTCGATCGGGTTAAAACTCTCTGAGATACCGATTATCTCGTTATCGTTGTCAAGGCAGGTCAGAGGTATGTAAAAAACTTTAGACGCGTTTTTTTAAAAACTTCGTTTTTCAAGTCAGTGCGTAACGTTACTATGCATAGGTCCTTGACACAGTAAACACTTGCAGATGAACAAAAGTTTTTATTTGAAAAATTTGTTTTAAATATTTTTACAGGCTACAATGGGCTGATTTATTATTTAAAAATGATATTTTAGACTTTAAAACCTTGTCAAAAATTCAAAATTGCATATTTTTTAATTTAATTTAGTTAATCCGCACAATAAAATCAAATAATAAGTGAATCAAGATGCCACATTTTCGAAAAGACTCCGGTATTATATTGTATATTGATATTAAAAAAAAAAACTAGGGTTCTCTTGCAATATAGGCATTTACCTTGTAAAAACTTGAATATGTATGTTCACACAGAAATTAGAAAAAAAATCTCAAAAATTAGTTTTTTTCAGCCTTGGAAACCATCTTTCCCCCTCAAGTAGCTTTTTCGTAGCATGGATTGACAGTGATAGAAAAATACAAAAAACATTTCTGATTCAGCTGTAATTATCTTTAAAGAACTCTTAATAGTATGAGCATTTATTCCCAAAAATAGGATGACGTATGTTCATACCTAAGAGCAATCAAATTTTCAAAATTGCACAGGCAAATTCAAACACCATAGTTCGACAATGACTAAGTCATTAGTTAACAACCCTCCCATCTTAAAGCAGGCGAAGAACCCACGACATCAGGGCCTGAACCAATGAACAGCAAATTAATCCCAAAGCCACAGCGACAATTAATATGCTACCAAAACCCACGCCCACGAGAGGCGGAGAGCGAAAAAGAGATTAGGAAAGCCAAATGACTTTAAATTAAGCCGATGTGCGTCCGTCGATTTAATTAAAATCAAAACAAAATCTTTGCCTACCGCCACGCCCTTTGTGCCTCCCCCTGTGCCAACAAATTGACAAATAATAAAACCATAAATAATGCAAAACAATAAATGAGCAAATATTCATAAATTATTAACGCAGGAGCTGCTGGCTGACAAAAGGCAGCACAAGCAGCCAAAATATTTTGCCAAAGCATTTAAAAGGACAATGAGGCACGAACCAGATGACAGAATCCGGGGAAGAATAGCAAATCCCCGCAGCAAATAATTGAGCCTCATAAAGGAAATATCATTCATTGATTTTCCCCGGCAACCACAACAGACTCTCGACCTCTCACTTTCCCCCAGCAAGTGGATGAAGTCGTCTGGCGTTTGGAAATGATGATGGGAATGGGAATGTGAATGGGAATGGGAATGGGGTGGCGAACGGTGGATAGGTGGTGGTTCATGGGGCTCCAGTCAGCAGACAATATGGACAGCTAACGAAACTATCCACAGGGCGGTAAAGCAAGACCTTCACATGAATCTCAAATCTATGCCCCGTCATGATTTGCACAAAAAACTTGAGCCGGCAAATTTGTCAGCGGCAGAAAGGACACAGAACTACGAAGGGAAAAGGACAAGGATAAGCTAAGGACGAGTCAGGGAAAACAAATGATAAATTATTGAGGGATTTCTGTTAATTTAATGACCCTGATGATGTCCAAGGCCAGAGTATCTAGACTGCCCATGTCTGATTGGGCCAAAGCCGAAAATTATATTTCTATAGAGTTTGTGCATCGTGCTAGAAATTATTTGGAAATAATATAAATTCGTTGAAATGTTGTGGTCTTATAATAGTAATTGGCATGTCAAATATTTCTAAAAAATGTTCTTTTCACTTTAAATCATTTACGACTTAGACGTCGTTCTTATTTTGCCATCAAGTCAAAATTTTAATGTGAATTTAAAATAGATTTTATATTAAATTATGAATGTGTTACGAGCTTACTCGCAATATAATACAATATATTATAATTTAATATAATATTATATCATATAAAATAATAGATTTAAATAGAACTACTTTAATGTATAAAAATAAACTCTTTCTCAATTGTGTTTTTTCTTATTTATTAATTATAGATTATGGTGTGAATAAATGATTTATCATATGTTAGAAACAGGTTTAACAGCCTTAAACTATATTATTTTTTGGTTAAGCATCAAGGCCATAATAACTGGGCACAGATTTATTAAAAAAAAGGTTATTCTAGTTTTAGTCAAAAATTTGCAAAGCAGTAAATCAGACATTTCCGACCTGTAAGGTATATATATGTTTAACAGCATCACTAGTTTAATTGATATATACATATATCAATATAAAATTTCAAATTTAATTTTTAAATATTAAAATCATCATATTAAGTACAATGCATATTGAATTACAGTATAGAAAAATAAAAGATGTTAGATATTGTGCAAAACGTTGTATTATAAATGGGTCCTATTTAGTAACATGCATTAACAATATATTTAATATGGTTTAAATTACAAATATTTAAGATATTAAAATCTATTCAGAAAATAGTCATTTAAAATAAATATAATAATTTCATATTTCACATGACTAAAAAACGCAATCAAAACGACAAATGTTTTAATTAACATTAATTATTAAAATTAGTTGCATCGAAAAAAAAAAACCAAATCCTTCGTTCCATAAATTCATACTGTCATTCATATTTAAATTTGATCAAAATCGTATCAATACGTTTCGATTTGGAAACAGTTTTGCCAGATTCGCTTTTCCTGTCAAATCAGTTTTTTAAAGACAAAAGGTAGTTTGGGAAGAAGCGCGAATGGGAATGAGGAGCGCCATGCTAAATGAACCAAAGGGCAAAACCTCCCACTGGATTCAATCAATTTAATTTTGGAATTACCATCTAGACTTTTTTAATGTTAGTATTATGTCTGGAACACACATGCAAGATATAATCCAAGCAATGTGAGCTCTTCGTTGAATTTTAAAAATCCAGACAGTTTTACACAAATTCTGAACTACCCAACGCCGCTACCCGTAAATAATGTTTTGTTTAAATGTAATTATGTATAAAGGCGCTACTCAGACTTTCACCGTTATTCAGCTTTATCGCCAAGGGTGTTATTAATTTTCACTTGAAATATTATTGAAATATTTTTAACTATTTAAAACCTTAAAATTAAAATAGAAAACCTCCGGGAAAAAAGGAAGTCGCTTTGAATACGAATCAGTAATGTCCATCATCCGTAAATTAGCGAATACTTCAACCAGCGCCGCCACCCTTCAATTTAGCAAGTTCTCACTCCTGACCAATGTTGCCACCTTTTTCGATTGCGCACCAAGCAGTAACAATCGACGACAAAAGTTCTGATGCCCTGTCAAACATCGATGACAGCGATTTTGGCATCGATGTTCTCCCACCCCTAGCACTAAACGAAAAACAAGCAACCGATGCCGAAAGCATAACAATTCGAATACTCTAAAATCGCCAAGATGAGCGCCTACTACCGGCGAGCGGCGCTGCGCAACAAGAGCCCCAGTCGGGGATCTCTCGACGCGGAGATGAACGAGTCTGGATACACATCCTTCCGGGCGCCTCATAATTCCACTGCGGAGACGCCATTTTTGTTGGAGGACACGGAGGGCGAGAACTGTCGCAATGCGTCGAACACCTCGACGTTGATCCGGGGACTGTCCTCACCAGGTGGCCACCAGGAGCAGGACCTGCACTGGGGCAAGCTGTATCCCAGGTCCCAGCCGTCGAATCAGCGCTCCGTGGAGGAGGAGCCCTTTTCCATGACGCCCCGTCTGCTGGAGGTACACAGTCTGCCAAAGCGGCGCAAAAAGCATTTCCAGCCACCGCACAGCAGTCCCAAGAAGTCCAAGAAGCTGCTCTTTCCGCAGCTGGAACAACCGCCGGCCAAGAACCGATTTTACGGCGGCGTGGAGCAGTTGGACATCGTGGCCAAGCTGGCACAGAAACAACCTGCCCTGGAGTGCATACTGCGCCATGTTAGCGCCCACACGCTGGACGTGATGACACAGGTGTCGCTGGCTTGGAGGCAGGCCGTCTATCGCAGCCAGCGGGACTTTGAGCGCCTGCAAAACCACCGGCTCAAGCTGAGCCTGACCAAAGAGAATCCAAACGTGCCCAAGCGGCGCAGCCATGTGCCCAAGGCAAACCAAACAGTGCCATTGCAGACCTCGAACCACAGCAGTCTAGCCAACAGTGCCGCCTCTCTAATGGACTCCGGGAACTCAAGCTTCCATCTGATGGAGGCGGATGCCGGAAGGGTTCTGCGCGAGCAGACGCAGCGCGTCAAGTGCCCGCGATGCGGACGTGGTAGTCGGGTCTTCATCAGCGAGGTGGCCAAGAGTGGCGACTCGGCGCTGTCCCAAACGCTTCCCATTGGACGCCACAACAGCACATTCCTCAGCGCCGGTGTGCCACCTTTGAAGCGCTTCTTGTCCCTGGACCTCGACGAGATCAATACCCCACCGCAAGCACCGGCTTACAACTTCGCCGAATGCACCAGTGTCGTTTGCCAGTTCCGGTTCTGCATTAACTGCCTCTGCAAGTCGCATCCCGGCGAGCGCTGCCTGGTCACCGAACTGGACACGCCCTCCAAGCTAATGATGCCACGAGAGCGGCTCACGCCGCCGCAACGTGCCCAGAACCGCGATCCCAAGATAAGAAGGAAGAACTCGCTCAAGCGGCTCTGCTTTTAGTTTAAGCATAGGCTTTTAATTGCGTTTAGTATTCGATTTGTCCAAATCTCATTAATTCCGTATTATGTTCACTGCACAATGTTCCATTTTGTCATCACCATACATTCTCATAATTGTTTTTAAATCGTACACTGTAAGGTTTTCCGGAAATCTATACCTCTGCGAGATTAAGTATTTTTATCATATTCGAAATATAAACATTTTTATAATAAGAGCTTTAACGACAAGAGTTTTACTTTTTCAAATACTTTTTATCTTTCTATGAATTTAACAGTAAACTGTCAATATTTTTAGAAGTTAAAACTGTTTTTAAACTAGGAAACCTATAGAATGTTTTGATTTAAAAAAATTTAAGTTTAAAAAACAAGTGAGAAAAAAATATTTCTTATTTTATAAAAAATCTTAAAAATCTTTCTTTACGGATATATGCGGAAAAGATAAGCATAATTGACTGCAACTTACAGATTAGCTTTTCCACCGGAAATTGACGATATAATGACGTTTCTTTTATATTTTTTCTAGTATAAAGTGGGCATAAAAATTGGATTATTTAGCCGCTACATAGAGAAGATCTTATTGACCTAAACATAATTTAAATATAAAAAAGTTTAATCAGCTGAACATTAATGTTTAAGGTATTTTTAGATATCCAAAAAGTTAAACCTTTTTTCTAGTAACTAATAACTATTCGATTTAGAAAATTTTCAATTGATACGATTTGTGGGCTTGGCCAAATTTTGAAATAAAACTGCGCTGCGTAGGCATAACGAAAAACTGCATGTTAATTTCCCAAATTTGGGATCTCGGCGTTCTTTCGGTTCGATTTTAATGAAATTTAAACCGTAATTCTGAAATATTTTTGATGTTTTCCGTTAGCTGCAAGGGTATATGAACTTCGGTTTGCTTCGTTTCTTGTTTTTTAATTAGTTTCTAATTTGGTACGCTGCTTTGGAATTGTTTAGTTACAAGTCTGATGGTATTGTGCATCTTTCGACCGATTACGAAAGTATTTTTGCTCGGATCAGATTTTAAATATTTAAACAAGTTTCAAACCACGGTGTGTGAATACGCTAATTCATAGATGGGCTATACACCTTTTGTAGTTGGGCTGTTTTAGTGTATTTCGGAATGACCCTTTGGTCACACTGAAGCAAACACGTGTGGAGTGCGGTCGCCGCACATTTGTATTGTTTTTCGTTAAAACTGTGAATTTACTTAAAATAAAGAAAAAGGAAAGCGCAATACCAAGATGAGTACCGCGTTGGCCCAACAGCTGCAGAAATTGGCGGCTCCGCAGTCGTCCATCACGCTAGCGGATGCCCGGAGTCGCGCTTCCGTGCTCTTCAATCCCAAGGAGGCAGCCACCAAGGACCGGCGCACCATCTACGATATCGGGCTAGTGGGGCTGCAGGAGCTGACCGACTTCAACCCGGCCTTCAAGGAGTTCCAGTTGACGCTGTTCGACGAGGCCACCCTGACGCTGGAGCGATCCGTGGAGCTGCCGGAGGTGAACAAGCTGCTCGACGCGGCCATTGGCAAGTTCCTGCGCCTGCTGTCCCCGTATCTCCTGCTGCGCCCCGCCCACATGGCCTTCGAGTGGCTGCTGCGCCGGTTCCAGGTGCACGAGTTCAACCGCAACGAGGTGATGGCCCTGATCCTGCCCTACCACGAGACCATGATCTTCGTCCAGATCCTGCAGACCATGCGACTGCGTCCGGCAGATGCCGACTGGTTCTGGCTGCGCCCACTGCAGCGCCCTGGCGTCCCGCTGGCCAAGACGGCCATCGTCAACAGGGCCGCCAGCAACCCCGCCTTTCTGGGCTTCATCTGCCAGAGCACCCAGAAGGCGGTCAAGGAACTGGGTCCGCGTGCCCACCAACTGCAGGCCCAGATCAACTTCTACGCCACCGTCGTCGTGGGCGCCCTGCAGACGGCGAGGCCGCTGCAGGACTGGCACATCACCAGCATCCTGGAGTCGCTGCTCCGCGGCCTGGTGTCGGACACCATCGATTTCATGGCCGCCGCCTATGTGATCGTCGCCCAGCTGGTTTCCCGCACCAAGCTGAAGAGCAAGGTGTGCAACGCCCTGCTGGAGCGCGTGGCCAACTGTCCGTTCGAGCGTCTGCACAGCGAGTCCTTGCTGCTGCTCGTCTGCATCTATGGCAAGCAGCAGGCCGCTCTGCCGCACTTCAAGCACGAGACCGTCCTCAATCTGGTCGGCCAGAAGTGGCTTATTGCGGCGCTGGCTTCCCTGGCCAAGGGCAACATCGCCATCCAGTCCATCTGCATGCCACTCATGACGGGCGCCGTGGCTGCCATTCGGGAGGAGGACGTCGCCTCCAGCTCGTGCAAATTGTTTTTGGACAACCTGATCTCGGATGTGCCAATGGCCAAGCCGACTGCCCAGCAAATGATCAAGTGAGTACTTTATGATTCCATTTTGGTGTTCAAAGTTTTGTAAAGAAACAATTTTATTATATATTTTTTTAAGAAAGCAATAATAATATAGCTTTGTTGTTACTGTTTAATGGCTTTATTGGCAAAACCAGTACTTTATTTTATATCACTGCTCAGCTTAAAACTCACATTAATCTTTGATTTGTTTTATACCCATACGTTAGCTCGAAAATTTTTTGACAAGTGTTAAAAAAAAAGTTAAAAACATCATCCAAAAGGAAGTTGTGTTGGTTATGTTGCAACCAAAGCTTTGCCATAAATATATACCAAAAATGTTGAGCCCTTTTGGTATAATTCATTTATACCAATTTTTTCAACAACATAACTTAGAAAAGTCATTGTTTATCCCTTTTTCTTTTTGCGAAATCATATATAAACAAGTAAATAAATACAGATTTTAGAAAAGTATATTAAATAAATTTTACTTAAGCTTAGATCTATATAATCTATATTTATATTTTTGAGTTTTATTTTCATTTTTAATAAATGTTTTTTCTGAATTTACTTCATTTTTTAACAAATATTTATTCAAAACTAAATAAAAAATACATTTTGTGTTATTTAATTTAAAATGTATGATTGCGGTCTCTGCAAAAATGAATAGATACGTAAAACAGCGAATAAAATGGTCGATATTATAAATTCTTTTCTGTTGTAACTAACTTATTCTTGTTTTAATTTCAGTTGTTTTCTGGATACTTTTGTGGAGACCGAGAACGAAGTACCTGAGCCAATGGACACAACCACAGACGACAACGACGATACCATCGTTATTGATTCGGATGATGAGGCAGAGGTGGAAAAGACCAGTTTTCAGACCTGGTATAGCACTTACCTGGAAAAGCTGGAGAGGCGTTATCCGGAAGCCTTCGACATGAGCGTTAAGGAGGCCTTGAGGGCCAAATCCACCACAAGCAATCGTCAAAAGGCCTTGAAATTGGCCCTAGGTAAACGAATTAGATAAAAGCTTTCAAGGATTGTTGTTTAACCTATGCTTCCCCTAGGTTTCCGTCTCAACACCTCGGATGAAAAGGCGAAGCACGCCTACGAAAGGCTCTACCACTACAGCGCAGATTGGCGACTGGGCGCTGTTCAGCAGCTGCTCCAAAACCTCAAGTTGGAAAAGAAGCGGGAGCGAAGCGTGAAGTTGCTGCAGGAGTGTCTGCCCGATAGGATCAACGATGACAGTGGTGCTGTGGTGTCGGCTGTCCTCTCGCTGTCCACCGAGGAGCTGGCCGAGATGTTGGGTCCTCTTGCCTTGGCCCAAACCCTGTGCCGCCTGCTAAGTCGCGCTCAGACCAAAAAGGAGCTCGAGTGGAATTCCGTGGTTCCGCTGGCCGTTCGTCACTTAACCTCGACCCCAGTGAGCGACGCGTATGACAAGAATCTAGTGCTATTGGCGCTGATGCCGCTGCTCTTCCCCAGCGAAGCGCTGGCGGAGCACGAGCACGAGGCTCTGCTGATTCTGCTCGGCAGTGACTTTGCTGGCAAAGTTCCCTTCCTGGCCGAACTGAAAGTGAGCAGCGATTTCGACGCTTTCAAGGCTAACGAGCATCGTCAGCACTTCCTGGACGTAATCGCGAGCAGCAGTGAGGAGCTGATCAGTCAGGAGAGGGCGCTGCTGCAGAGCGTTCAGGATCACGGCGGTGAGGCCTACATACAGGAAGCCTCCCAGCTGACACACCTGCTGTTGCTGTTGACCGCCTACGCGAAGCGGGAGTTGCGGCCGGATGAGAGCCTGCACATGCTGGAGAAAATAGAGCTTTACAGTCGGCGAGTTCAGTTCCGTGTGGTCAGGGGCAAGCCGAGTTCGCAAACTTTTGTCCCTCTCCAACTGTATGTAGACTTCCTCTTGACTTTGGTCAAGAACACGAAGTGGACGTCTCTGGCTGCAACGCCCTGGAATCAGTTGACAGATGAACTTCGTCTATGCCTGCGTCTGCTGGAGATACTGTGCGCCCAATTCTTCTCGGATCGGGCAGATCTGCCAGAGCGTCAGGAATGGACTCGAGCCCTGCAGCAGAGCCTGCGGCTGATTCTGCCCGAGGCGCAGGACAGACTGGAGCTGCTGACCAACTTCTACGTCTTCGAGAGCCTGCCGGAAATGTGGCCACGCGACTCGGACTATGCTGTGTTCCGCTTGCATGGCTTTCTGCTGCTGGAGGCGGTGCTCTCCAACCCGAAGTCCCAGCTGAACTGCAGCCTGGTTCACGTGCTGCGTGTGGCCAACGCCTGTAGATCGCCACTGCAAACCCTGCGAGTGCAGGCCATCAACGCGCTGCAGTTGATGGGCAGTCGCAAACTGGTGTCCCATGTGGAGCAGCTGGTGCATTCGCTGCTGCAGCGCAAGAGCGAGTTGAGCATGGATCACGAGCAGTACGCCCTGATACTGTACACCATTCTGGAGCCCGAGAAGGCCACCGTCAAGGAGAAGATGGTGCTGTCCAAGCTGAGAAGGTCTATCCTAGCATTGGTCTGCGATCTCAGCCAGCCAGCCATTTGCACAGCAGCTCTGCTGGCGACCCTCAAGCATGTGAACGATGAGCACTTCCTGACGGAACTGTTGCCACTGGGACTCGACTCCCTCACGAAGATCACTGCGGGCGATGGTAGCCAGCACTTGAAACAGCTGCCCTGGCCGCACAGCGAAATCTACAAGTCGGTGGTGGAAAAGTTCGAGGGACGTGTGGGCCTGAACGTTCTGCTCCGCAAGGATCTGGCTTGGAAGCTGTTCGAGGAGAGTTTCGCCCAGCACGACGCCTACGTCCAGCTGGAGCAAAAGCTCCAGCCCCTGCCCTGCATCCTGCTGAACAGTCTCACCCCGGAGACCTACGACCAAATGCAGGCCAAGCACAAGGTGGCGCTGATCAAGCTGATCGTGTCGGCGGCCACTAATTCGGACAACGACAGCATCTTCCTGGCCAGTCACCGACTGCTAAAGCGTTGCCGTCTGGAATGCCAGCCCCTGGTGCCGATGCTGGCCGAGATGGCCAGCACTGTGGTGCAGAAGCAGCGTCCACAGACTGCCGCCTCCAAGCGACGCACGGCAGCGGCCACCCAACTGGACCTGACCAGCGCCTCCTGGAAGCAGGGCATGACTCTGCTCGAGCTGATGGAGCACAAGAAGCAGCTGGTTGGAGCAGAGCTGCTGATTCCGAAGCTCTTCGAACTGCTGCAATCGTGCCTGACGCTGGAGGAGCACAGTGCCGCCGAGTATCCCAAGCAGCTGATCCTGGCCAACCTGCTGCACTGCTGCCAAACGGCCCAGGCGGCTGGCGTGCAGCTGGTCAAGGCACTGCCCGAGTCCAGCTTCCGCATCGAACTGGTGGTGCAGTGCCTGCGGAATACGCGCAATCCGCAGACCCAGCAGCACGCCCTGCTCTTCCTGACCCACTGTGCCGGCCTGTATCCGCAGCAGGTGCTGCTCAAGATCGTCGAGATCTTCACGTTTGTGGGCTCCACGGTGGCGCGACACGACGACGCCTTCAGCCTGCACATTATCCACAATGTGGTGGAGTCGATCATTCCCATTCTGTTGCTGAAGACCGGACACCGGGAGCTGGTTATACCCGTGCTCAAGGTGTTTGCCGACATCTGCGCCGACGTGCCGGTGCACAGGCGTTTGCCGCTCTACGCCACCCTCTTCCGCGTCCTCGAGCCCAAGGAGCACCTCTGGCAGTTCCTCTGCATTGTGTTCGAGTCGCAAGTGCTCCTGGAGCAAGGCCCCCAAAAGGTATCCTCAGACAAGTCGCGTCTGGACTTTGCCCGCGAACTAACACTGATGTTCGAGGACCCAGCGGTGGGCCTGCAGACGTGCATCCGGCTGCTGGAGTACCTGGCCACGTTGCCGGCCAACAAGAGCGGTCATTCGGGGGTCGGCACCACCGGCTCGTCGGTGCTGTCAACGGAAAAGCAGCTCTTCGATGTGCGGACCCGAACGTTCAAGCAGCTGCGTCACTACAAGTACCTCATCATGGACTTCTTGTCGGGCATCAGCAGCTGCAACGAGTGGCAGGCCAAGATGAAGCGTCCCGATCCCACTGAACTGCTACCGTACTACCAGGACTTCATCCTGCGGACGCTGGCGTATGTGGGCGTGGTCAATGGAGCATTGGAAGCGGCCAGCGAAACACCCGCTCTGGAGAAGTTCTGGCGGGTGCTGGCCAACCATGCCCACGATGTCCTGGACAACGCCATCGGTCTGTTGGCGCCAGAGCACTTCATCAGCGTGATCACCGAGCTGCTGCAGCACGACCACGTCTATGTGCGCATCAAGGTGCTGGAACTGCTGGTGACCAAGCTGGGTCCCACGTCCGATGACTTCCAGCTGTGCGCCGCCGAACACTTTGGCGTGCTCTTTGCGCCGCTGCAGCAGATTATCAACGACGTCCTGGAAGACGGCCCCAGCAGTGGGCAGCAGGCGAAGCTGCAGCAGACCGCGCTGCAAGCCCTGCAGCTTTTGGCCCACCGCCACGGTCGCGAGTTCGTCGAGGAGTGCCGCTCCCTGCTGGCCACTCTCACCAAGATCACCAAGCGGCGGGCCAGTGTGCCCAAGGCCGTCCTGGGCAACGTGGTGCTCACTCTCGTCGAGATCTGCGCCAGTCTCAAGGCCCACGCCCTCGCCCAACTGCCCAAGTTCGCGCCCCAGCTCACGGAGCTTCTGAAGGAGCAGGTTCACCAGATGGCCACGATCAAGCAGGGACCCGACTACGTCTGCTCCACCCTCGTGACAGGTAAGTCCGACAATCCCCACTTGGAATTGCATTCTGTTACTAATGTTTATTTATTTAATTGCTTAATTATTATGAAACCATTAAGTTATTTATTCATTTGACATATTAGCACTACGAATAAAACATTTAATTTAATGTGCTAATCACGAAAAATTCAAATATAATATAAAGTTAAAAAAAAGAATAAAAAGAACTAAATAGGAAACAAAATAGGAAAGAAAATAGGACGTAGTTAAAAATTTTAAGAGGACTTAACTGATAGGGGTACTTAAATTAAATTTATTTAAATCTCATAATCCCCACTTGGAACTATCCTGTTACTGATATTTATTTAAATGCTTAATTATTGTGGAACCAGTAAGTTATTTATTCATTTGACATACTAGCAGAACGAGTAAAACTTATTATTTAATATGCTAATTAGAAAAATTCAAATATAATATCATAAAAATTAATATAAAAGAATAAAATAACTAAATAGGAAACAAATAGTTAACAATTTTAAGGGACTTAACAATCTGTTGATAGGGGTACTTAAATTAAATTTTCTCATTATTATTGTGTCCTATTCGATTAAACGATTGCGTGTCATAAATTAAAAAGCTCTTCTGTGACCTCTGCATATAATACTAATATTTCGTTCGTCTAGAAGTGATAAAAGATAGTTTTTTGCAAAGGTAGTCAGGTTCTTTAGTGTTAGTTATTATAATAATTATTGTATGACAAGTTTTGTAACTTATAAGTTATTACATGTATAAAACTTTATTTTTCTGATAGACAAGGTGTTAACGTCAACTAAATTTACTATTAGGTTGATGATTTTAATAACAAGTAAATAAGTTTTAATTTATTTTTATTTACGACTTACTTTATTCGAATTTATTGCTAGGTTAATTAAGTTAAAATATTTTTGAACGTTAGAGTTTTTAAAAAATGTTTAGTATTTATATATGTATTTTAAAAAAGAAAGACTTTAGTTTTAACTGGTTTTTAATCGCTTTAACAAAATAAGGAAGTAGGTTTCATTGTTAAAGAATAAGTGGTGATCAGAGCTGACAACTTTGTCCTTAAGGTTCTTTAGTAATAATAATTTTTTAATGTTAACGACATTAGGTCATTATTAAATAGCACTTCTGCGTGCACAATAATGTTTTTCATTTATGGCCATATTATTGGGACCTACTATAGCTGCCAGCATCACAATTTCCAAATATTTCGATGTCAAAAACAATAAAGAGGTTATATTATCTAATTATTAATTAATTATCTTTCAGCTTTGCACAAGCTGTTCAAGGCATTGCCGCTCTTCCTGGGACCCTACTTGGTGGACATCATCGCGGGCCTGGCGCGCCTCTCAGTGCAGTTGGACCATCCGCTGCTGCTGCAGGACAAGCGCGCCCAGGCTCTGAAGCTTCGACTTGCGGACGTTTGGACTGCGGTGGCTCAGGGCGTGGAGGTGCGCATCCTTGTGCCCAGCTGCGCCAAGGGCTTTTCCTGCCTGCTGGAGCAGCAAGCCTACGACGAGCTGGGTCATCTGATGCAGCACCTCCTGCTGCAGAGCATCCGGCACAACACAGCGGCGCAACTGCAACCGGTGCAGGATTCTCTAAGCGAGCTGTTTCTCCAGGCGCTGGACTTCCGGCTACTCGTGCGTGGACGCGGCCTGCAAAGGCAACTGGTTTCGGACGTGGAAGCGGCTGTGGCCGAGACCTTCGTGACCTGGATCCTAAAGCTGTCCGAGACGAGCTTTCGACCCATGTACGCCAGGGTCCACAAGTGGGCGTTGGAGAGCAGCTCCAGGGAGACGCGCCTTACCTACTTCCTGCTGACCAACCGGATCGCCGAGGCCCTCAAGTCGCTGTTTGTACTCTTTGCCAGCGAATTTGTCGAAGACTCCTCCCGATTGCTGGCGGAGCACAACTCCCTCCATCCGGAGTTTGAAGCCGGCGAGCCGGAAGATGATGTAGAGCTGTTGACGGCTATATTGAACACCCTGCATCACGTTTTCATGTACTGCAGCGAGGACTTCATCAACGAGCATCGCTTCAACGCACTGATGCCGCCGCTGGTCAACCAGTTGGAGAACGACCTCGTCCTCGGAAGTGAACCTCTGCAGCAGGTGCTCAGCAACAGCATTGCCCAGCTGGCGGTGGCCACCAACGATGTGATGTGGAAGCAGCTGAACAGCCAAGTGCTCCTGAAGACCCGCACCCCCAATCCGGAAGTGAGGATTCTGGCCTTCAGCACCTGCGTGGCCATCGCCCGCAAGCTGGGCGAGAGTTACGCCCCTCTGCTGCCGGAGACTGTTCCCTTCATCGCCGAACTGCTGGAGGACGAGCACCAGCGCGTGGAGAAGAGCACACGCAGCGCGGTGCAGGAGCTGGAGACTATTCTGGGTGAGCCGGTGCAAAAGTACCTTTAAGTAGGCAAAAGCGAACATTTCTGTAACTGAAATGGTAATTACATACTCCCATGTGGACATAAAATAATGTTTTTCAATAAAAAACAAAATATTAAAAAAACCCATTGTCATTTATTTTTATTTTTAATAAAACATTAAGCTTTCACAGTCTTTAAATTGGATGTATATGTGCGTTTGAACGATTTGTACACTTTATAAATCTCGTGGATCAATCTTTATTTTCTGGGTTTCTAAACTTTGGAAATCCCGTGGCTCGCACCACCCCACATAAATTTCGTTGTTTTTTAAAATATTTACTCACATCACAGTTTCTTGCCTTTTATTTTTGGTTATTTTGCCTTTTATTTTCTATTGCTGCTGAAAAAGTTTAAAAACTCTGAAGATCAATTTAAAATTTAAAATCTTTTACAAAAAGGAAGATTATATTTTAAAACCCGGTGGCAATTTTGCAAATAACGTTTAATTAATTTTTGCTTAACTTTTTCAATACGGATCCGGATTTGTTGGGAAAAAAAATGATAAAATGCTTCTCTTTCGTGGTTCTAGCAAAAAAAAACCTTAAATAAAAGGGTTTTTAAGAAAAAACAAGGCCTCCACCAAGTTCTACCTGGCCGCAAATCGCAGACTTATTATATTTTCATTTGATTTTGGAATTTTGGAAAATTAGTGTGCATCTTGGGCTTAAAATATGAAATTGGAAGTCAGAGACAAAGTTCTATGTTGGGCGACTCTTATTTCAATAAATAAAAAAATAAAATACGAATTCTCAATGTGAACTTAAGGTTATAGTTTGTAAACAAAGTAAATAAACATAAAGTCCAATTGTTGGGAAACGCAAATTCCGTTTCACAATGTGGTGTTAAGTTTTTCTTTCTGATAAATTTTTACAGGGTCTGTTTGTCGCAGGACTCGTTTAGAAATTCGAACTGCCAAGCCTTAAAAAAAAAGAATGCGAAATATTCATTATCCTTTTCTATTTTTAGACCGACAAACTTAATCTATATTATTCTTTCTATTAAGAGTTCACCGTCTTATAACCTCTTAAATGACATTGGGAGTGTAAATGTTTTCGAAAAATAAATTTAACTTAATATCAACTTAACATGACATTGAGAAATGGGCTCCAAATGTAATTGATGCGTTAACCCAATTACACAGATAATGTGAAAAGACATAGTTTTTAAACTTATTTATTTCGGAATGCAGGGTCCGCTTAAGCTAGTGTACAATAAGAAAACAATCAACATTATTCTTGGCCCGACTGGAAGTCGGGCGACGTGGCAACTGGACTATGTGTTGTAGGTGTAGGAAATGGTGGGGATGTGGGCGTTGTTGAGCGTGTTGTCGTGCGTCTCCTTGTCTTCGGGGATCTCGGGATCCTCGCGCTCCTCCTCCTCGTCGATGATGCTGATGTCGCGAATGGACGGCCGGTGGCTGCGCCGCCAGCCGCTTAGGTCCTGCGGCTGCTTGGTCTTGGTCAGCAGCTTGGTTCCCGTCACCGAGATCATGATGGCACCGAGCGGAGCGGTCAGCACGATGCTGAACACGCAGATCGTCTGCACGATGTTCGCCCAGTTCTTTTCCTCCTCCGTGGCGTTCTCGCCCAGATGCTTGAGGGCCACCGGACCGAGGGCCGCCTGCACCGTGGCCTTGGCCATCCATGACAGTCCCACGAAGAACTTCTCCTTGGTGTTGAGCCGGTCGCCGAAGGCAATGCCCGCCGTGGTCAGGATGCGCAGTATGGCGCCGGTGAAGATGCAGCCCGCTCCAATGGACACCGTGTGGGAGTCCAGCTCGCGAATCTTCACCGTGGCACCGGTCAGGCCGAACAGAATCGGCTCAAAGATCATCCAGAAGATCTCGAAGGCGGTGGACACCGGGTTGTCCTCCACATCCCAGCCGTCCTTGCACCAGAACAGGTTCGAAACAAAGGCGGAGAAGACGACGGCCAGCGGTCCGGCGCCCTCGAAGCCCAGCTCCTCGCTGCCATAGATGGCCATCAGGCCGCCGGTGAAGAGCAGCAGCGTCCGCAGCGGCACCACATACGCGTCGCCCTTCTCCGGGAAGATGCGGGCCAGCGAGCCCCAGACGACGCCGAAGCCCAGACCGCCCAGGATACAGACCGGCGCCTGGGCGATCTGGTAGGCCAGTCCCTTGTCCGAGAACATCACCGTGCTGATGATGCCGAAAATGGCCACCGACAGGGCATCGTCCACGCCGGCCACGGCCACCACCAGCGTGGGAATGCCCTTGGCCACGCCGTAGCCTTTGGTGCGCAGCCGGAACAGGCAGGGCACCACCACCGCCGGCGACACGGCCGCAATTATGGAGCCCAGCAGGAACGCCCACATCCAGGGCAGGTCGAGGAGGAAGTGCGACATCACGGCCATCACCGCCGCCTCCACGCACCACGGAATGATGCCCAGCTTCAGGATCGTCTTGTACACCTTTTTGAAGGCCTCCGGCTCCATTTCGAGACCAGCTCGAGTCAGGATTATGGTCAGCGCGAACTTGCGTAGGTGGGCCGTCACCTTGGAGAAGTCGCCATCGATATTCGCCCATCCCACATTCTGGTTAAGTAAACATAATCAAAAGAACTTTTAGTTAAGGGTTAGCGTAAGGGATTTTACTTTCGAAAAGTCTATATTTTTGTACCCTTGCAAAAGGTACTATGTTATAATTTCAATCAGAACTTAGGTACGAATCACTAGGAGAGTCTGTCCGTTCGTCTGTCTGTCCATACGTAAAATATAATTTTTTTGTACATTGAGGGTAGTTTCCAGCCACAAAATTACGACATTTTTAGTAGAAAACAACAGTTTAAGCAGTTTAAGTATGAAAAAAATTAACATTGAACGTTTAGGAGAATTTTTGAATAATTTTTATTTTTTTTAATATTGGATAAATTTAAGTCGACTTGAGTGAGAAGGCATGAAATATTTTTTGTGTACATATTTAAAATCTGCGCCTCGATATCAATAGAACAAGAAAGGAAAAACAATTGGGCAAGGTTATATACCTTGCAGCTATGGAACAAATTAGATATTCTTTAAGAAACAACTATATTTCGATTTAAATGCTTACTTGATTAAAAAATTGAAGCTATGATAATTTTGCTTTATTTATTTTTCCTATTGTCCCTAAGAGAGACATATGATATAGTTGCCCGATTTAAATCAAATTAAATCCGTAGTTCTGATTTATTAATCCATTACCATTTTGAAAAACATGTTTAAAAAAATATTAAGACTCTGAAGTTATTGCTTATTTTGTTTTAACTTTTCCAATTTTTTCTATGGCTTGCTCCGACTTATAAATTACCTGCAATAGAAAAACAACTTTTGTAAAAGTTTCAAGCAGACGGCTTTAGAACTGCGAGAATTGTATGCATACAAACGGGCGGATTAAATTTTTTAAGCAATTGTTGTTACTTGGCTAAAATTTTTATTTAACTAATTTAACACTTAGTTAATTCTCACCTGAAAGAGAATGCCCACCAGGAGCATGCCGATTAGTCGCGGTAACGTGGTCAGCGATATCAAATAGCCACCAAAGTTGGCGGCCACAGTGAGAACGACCAGGCCGAACAGCTGTCCGCCAGGGGCAGCTGAATCACCAATGATCACAAAGGCCGTGATCCAGATAAGCACACCTGTAATTCAGGAATTGGATATTAAAGTTGTAAAACTTCCTCGAGAGTTTTAAAAATTTTAATATTAAAGTGGTTACATTTATTGCCATACAACACAAATAGAATGCGTTAAGTGCATATCAAAATAAATACTGAGTTATAAAAGCAACAACCTTTCCGCCATAAATTTTGTAGGTTGGTCATTCTTTAACATGTTTAAAACACTGAGCGATTTGCTTTATTTTATATAGAAAAGTTGATTAATAATAATTTATGTTTTAATTGGGTCAGAGGTGCCTACTTGACTAAGTTATAAACTTCTAAACAAAGTTCGTACAGTAACCCACAAAGTGCATAACATAAGTTTCATTTGTTTATTTGCAAATAAAACACACGTTAAGCACTTCATGTTTTTCACATTCAAAGTATAAAACAATATTATTGTACTAAAAGTTAAGACTTAAAAAGGTCCCAAAAGTCAAATATTTGAGGTTTTGACCGAGATTTTCTTAAAACGGGAAGGTAATGGAAAGTATTCAGTTTTGGATTAGTAATCCGCAGGTAAAATCCCTTTAGAGTCATTTGAGCTTAGTCGTGGGCATTTTTTTTTTGTCGACCAGTGATATAATTCTATATTTTACTTACCAATCAGAATAATAGAAATTAGTCGGGAGACCGTCCTAAACGTGGGACACAGCGGGTAGGGGAATATCTTTTGCCAGAAGGGCGGCTCCCAGGACGACGAGGGCTCCTCGCCGCGGCACTTGAGGCAGAATGTGTACATCCAGGACTCCTCGACGAAGTTGGCCCCGCCATTGCTGTCGCCACCGGAGGTGTGTCCCGTTTGGTGGCCATTGTACTTTGCATTGAGCACGTCCAGCGCATTCTGTCGATAGTTTTCTGTGAAAGAAGTCGGTGGCAATGTTATGAATGAATGAATCAAACTATTCACCTCAATGCGCAAGCACTTGGCTCTCAGTTCACCAGACCACTAGAAAATTATCTCGTCAGCCATCATGGATCTCTAATTAGGTGATAAGTATGGGCCTAATATCGAAGGGGAATGCTTGCTGGCGCTCTCGTCAAAGACAAGACCTACGCAGTAAAATTGGGCATTGGCAAGCCCACTTCCCCCAGTGCGCTAATTGGTTATGTCAACTGGAAAATGAAATAGACGTAGCACCGTAGCACCGTAGCACCGTAGCCCCTGACCAAATAGTCAGTTGAACTTGAGATATTTGCATTTTTCAACTGGTTAATTCACACTGCAATCTGAATGAGACCGTAACAATGGGGTGCTGGCTAATGGGAAACTTCCTATCACAATTTAGAAAACCTTGCGTACTATACTCAAGATAGGTTGAAATCTGGGACAATCGAGCAGTATAAAACGTAAGCTACCTTCAAGATGTTACAATTGTTTTAAAGTATATTTTAATGTACACAACTCAGGTGGGA